AACGTGCGTGGGTTAATTGCATACCATGGGCTGGACCATGCAGCAGTGGTTTCACTCTGTTCCCTTTACATACTTTTACTAACACATAACGCCGCTTGAAATGTATGGTTATCAAAGCAGACGTGGAACCTGAATATGAGCAAGTGGGTAATCCAAGCTAAGTACTAACCTTGAGGTATGACTTCGATGTTATCTGGCTTGCCACACCATTCCCGTCTCACTTGAATAGGGCCACAACCATCCGACGCAAATCATATACGTTGGTGATTTACACACTCATATTCTGATTATGAGGGACTTTAGTCTTCCTAAATTCAACTTCGCCGAACAAATTCACGGTGGAAGTGATAATTCAGCTGGCCCTCAGTTCTTAGAAAATGTGAAGTTATTAACTCAACACAGAGATATTTAGACACCATCGTGCTTAGGCAGCATACTTACAACCAAAAACTTCCTAATTGACGATCTCCTAGCTCTCCTAAGAAATAGTCATCGCACCACCATAACCTCCAGCTTCACTAGTAAAACGGAGCTAAAACAGCCTAATGACAACAAACGCTGGAATTTTAAACGTTCGGATGCGTCAACTTTACAGAACAGTCTAAAACATTTGAAGTGGGAATCGCAACATTCACTCGACATGGAGGCTCACTGGGGCTTCTCAATAAGCATTACCTTACGTGCTACAAACACGCAAACATTTATCAACAGATCTAGGTAACGTCCAACCACAAAGAATCGCACAACTCAAAAAGCACTACTGAGTGGAATACAAACTAACTGTTTACGACAGAACACCTGACCGCTTCAGGCAAGCGAGGAGCAAATGTACAGAGATAAAAAGAAAAGATGGGCTTCCGTATCAAATCAAGCTGATAGCTTGTTTCGCCTCCAATTCAAAAAGCTTATTCCGTTATACAGTCTTTCTTCGACAAGCTCAAAGTGCAGTTTCATACTGTAATACTGTAGAGCTCCAGCTAAAACAGTACCTTCAAACACTTGGTCGTCACATATAAAACGCATCAAAAATAGTTTTGCCTACGTTTTAGCGGAAATCTCAGAAGGGAGTCTGAGCTCTGGACTGATGTATCAGAAATTCCATGATCCAAACAAGTACAGTTCCCCGGTTCGTGTATGGTTCACTCTGCTACGTTGCGAGAGGCCACTTCAGTCTTGGTAGAGCCGCTTAGTATGTTTTTCTCATACCTCTAAGCCAATGTACGGTTCTGGACAATTAGAAGCTGGCACATATTACACCAATTACACCAATGTGTTAGCTCATTGCTGCTTCCTATGAATCTTACCTGACGATACCGTAATTTGTTTTGTCCAAACTGAATTTCCGGATGCATTTTTATGGTCTATGACGTTACAATGTTGTAGTGGCATCGGTTCTAACTAAACTACTCTCAAAGCTGAACATAAGAAGACTGAGAAAATTCATATTTAACAATTAATACAGATAGATCAGTAATAGTGAACGTGGGGACAACTGATCAGTATGGCATGGCTCAGACGTGCAGGTGTGGTCATTCTGTGTAACTTGTCCCTGTTCGAACTAAATATATTATTTTATCTTCAATCCAAATGTGTACATCAGAAGCCATAAACATCATACTGCTGATGGTCGCGATACCATGTGTCAGCGCAGACTATGATGAGACTTCCACGTAAGAACTTATAATCATAACAATTTATTTTCAAATAACAGTCTGTTACATGAGGCATGCTAGTTTTTAGGAAAGATCAAATTGTTACAGAAGATACAGTATTCACTGTTGTGGGGTATTCGATTGATTTATTTCATAAGGCACATTGATCATAAAAGTATGAAGGATAATACTTCTCACATAGAAATGCAAAAAATGTTGGTAAAATCCGTATTGTCAATATGACAGTTGGAGCGTTTTAGGGAGTTTGCGTTGTGACTTGCAACTGACAGTTGGGAGTAAATCCACGCTAATTTGAGAGCTCCTATAAACTGTGACCCTTTATCCCTCTGGAACATCTGTGGCATTAATGATGGACCAGGACAAAGTCATCCGTTCCATATACGTTGTCGGTGACATGCCTTGGGAGGGCTGAAAACGAGGGTAAGAAAAAAGAAGGACGAGAAGCAAAGCATACAATGTTCATGCTTATTGGAATTGAGTCATCTGTATTGGAATAAAGAAGGTATGACTACTTAGTCTAATTTTCTATTATTAAGGTACATTTTAAGGAAGAGCGTTCTAGTAGGTTAAAGAAAACAAGCGCAAATACAGTATGAATGGACAAACAACTGCGTAAATGGATGTGGTTCGAAAAGAAGCTGAAAGTATAAGATTATGTGAAGTTTTAAAATATAGTACTAAAAACAGTATTCTGATACACAAATAACTATCATTTTTGTTTAAGCCATTTCAGCTCATTTTTATTTTTATTGATTTTATAGAGTCATGAGCACGCTTCGTCTTTAGCAAATTGTCTAGTTTTGCTTGTAATAGGATTACTCGTTAGGAAGTGGAACAAATTCTACATCACAAACACGATTTGAAGAGGTATTTTGCATAATAAATTAGCATACATATCATTGGTTCGTGACATCCCATGTGACCATAAGGAGCCGCAATTTAACAGAATGTTCTGCCCCACAAACGTGGGCTGATTGAAGTTATCTCCCTCGCTGGTCAGTAACACCACCGTCCTTCCTTTTGTGACGTTAAGCTCTCTTACGTTTGTCGTGTGTATGAATATTGCTTTAACCTAAGCTCCTTTTTGGAATACACTGTCCCTAGTAGTTCCATGTTACAAGCAAATCATATGGTTAAAGCCTCTGTATTGTGGGCTAGATATCCATTTAGTATATCACACTGCTATGAAGATGACTAATGGTAAAAGTTAAAACACGGGTCTCATTATATGTGGTTTAGAGATGGTAAGGATAGATAGAAAATCAAAGAATGTGCAAGGGTTTAGAACTGTAAAATTTTCGGAGTAAGAAAACAAAACATTGAGCGACTCAGAAGAATATAGGACATTATGAGCTTCTTATGATCGGCCGTAGTTGATCAGCATCCATGAGATTAGTGAGTTATCTGTCTACCTGTAATAGAAAAAAACTTATAGAATGAGTAATCATATCATGACAAGTCTACAATTTCGGGATTAGGTATGTCACCACAATAACAAAGATAAATATGCCAATGCCAAATTAGACCGTAATACAACAGTGTAGCCAATCTTAATATCTAGAAAAATAAATTTCTGGAGTCTCTCTGATAAATTAAAGAAGTAAACTATCCAGCGAACCTCGTGTTTCAGGTGGCCTTTAAGATACAAATATCAGACGACAGCCCAGATTGCCCTCTAGAATATACCGCAACACATCTCAATTATCGTATACTCGTAGGAATGAGTTCTTAAGTCCTAAGGGGAGTGGATAAACGAGGGACGACGTCACCACATACATTCTCAGACCTGTCGCTTTAAAATACAAATCATTCGTCATGAGAAAGATCCCGGTCAGTCGTATCGTAGGTGACCTATGTGGACGGTCGCAGTCCAATCCATTTGAACGGGAACGGTGTGGCCTGGCTTATACTGAAATCACACATTGTAATTAATACCTAACGCGGATAGATCTTTCGTTGTATGGGAGTACTGTGGCCACTTTGATGATTGTACGGAATAAATGTAACGACATTGACAAAGTATATTAGTAAGGAAAATTCGAGGAACAGAGTGGAACATCATTTTATAGGCCAGTAAATGGCGTTCAACTGATAAGTGCCCATTAGTCAACCTTTAGCATGACGGTGTTCGACAAACTTTCTAACGACCAGTGACTTCGACTAACGTTGAAGTGGTTAGGCTAATGGATGTTCTTCAGGGCTCATCGTGATCGCACCGGCCCTAAGGCATCATCACTTAGCCATGGTTCAGAAAAGAACATTATACTTGAGCATACACCACATAAAAGCTTTACGTGTTTCGGAATTGCAAAACGAAACAAATTGTGAATGGGAGAGAGGTGATTTTTAAACATTGTTTGTGTAGGAGAAAATCACGTTCCGAGAAATGTCAAACAGTAACACAGCTTTTGGGCCAGCCTCCTTAGGTTTTTGGCACAGTGGGGTAACTTTGAGTTACTACACCCATACTTAGATTATTAGAAGTAGTAGGGTAGAAGTCCTAGTCGAGCTTGAAGATGACACAGGTATTCAGTGTTTGACAACGCTTTTACCAGCAACACCTTCTAATATAATTCGTACCCACCAAGAGAAATCAAAAGACAGAGTCGAGGAGATCGGAAGAGTGTATTTGGAGATAACCAATATATTGGAATTCTCTGATCTAATCTGGCTAGCGATTGCGGTAGATGTTGAGCACAGCGTTGCCACACGTGATCTGGTGCGGATGCATGACCGAGCGCCTTCAGCTAGATGAGTCCACTAAAACATATGGTCAGCATCTAATGTTGGAAACTTAAAGAGCTATTTATTTAAGGGATTTATTTACCGCTACAAGCTCATCAACATCGACTCGTTCCATCATTAGTTGCAGGATGTCTAAATAAGCTCACTACAGTAGTCTGACAGGCTGAAGTTTTCTTTTAAAGACCCTAATCCTTTTTTAGGAGAGACTGAATGTTGTTCTAAGAGTGGTCACGACAATATCAGAGGAATCTGGAGTTATTTCGAGTGACTTAATTAGGGGTAATCAGGGAATGTATCTAGGTCTGAGAAGTATTTCGAAGTAGTCACTATGTAAATTTGCCAGGTTAAGTCTGTATGGTATCAATTGTTACTGATTTGTATCACGGAGAGCGTTTTTTTACAGCTATCCATCTTTTCATCCAGGGATTCCGAAACACCGTATCTGCATGAAAATCAGATAGACTGGTTAAATTTCGCTCTTTTCTACCAGTATTGGTTGTTCGGAGCTAAGAAAGATCAACTATATAGTTTTTTCATAAACAATTCAGTTTGTTTAGTGCAGTTCAGGTCGGTACGGCTGTTGAAACTGACAAGTGCGCGCAAGGTTTGTCTTCTATTTCGTGGTTTGTTTGACGAAGTTGTTTTGCATGTATGACAAACTGTCTATCTGTTACCAGAACCCCAATTTAACAAAGGGCTTTGAACCTCAGCAATTTACGTGTATATTAGATGTTAGACTTTCGAGATTGTCTATAGGCTGGTAACCAACTTGACATTTTTAAAGTGTGTTGTGTACAGTTATCAAGGTTTGAAGTCTGAAAAAACCATCTACTTCAGTTTAGGCAGTAAATTGTATGGTAGTAAGACTAAATCATGCGAATGGCTATATGTGACTTTAGGAGTCATTGATCTGTTAAAGTACATATTATGTAAACGAACTATGTATTACATAGAAACATCCTCAATGGATATGGGGGTTTAACTTAATAAAGTCCATAATAAGTTCTCTGATGTAAATATCGTAGTACTTCCCGACATTTTTCAGACTATCATTTTGCCAAGACGCCCGAGTTTTTTAGAGGCTGATTTTAACGAGTCCTAGCTAAGCGTCGGATGATTATTGAGGCCAATATTTTGAATACTATGTTAGTCAGACTGATTCGTCTATGGTTGTCAGCAAAGGATTTTTGTCCTTATAGACTGGGACGATCAGCGATCGAGACCAGTCAGACGGGTTTATATCCAGCTCCCAGATTCTGACTGAGATTTCAGTCAATCTAATACCTAAAACTGGGTTACTAACTTTCAATATCTCAGGGGTTAATCGATCAAGTCCTGCTACTCTCTTGAACTTAATGTTTCTTATAGCCCTTTTCACCTGACTACGAGTTGTACACATATGGATAGTGGGTAACTGGGATACCACTGAAGACCGGTTGAAAGTGTTCTCCCTATCCGTTTAATCCCCAGGATTGGAAGTAGATAATAGTCCCGTCTTTCTCAGAAATAAAATCCGGGATTCTTATACCCGTTCCCTTGATAAGTTTGAACAGTTGTCTATTGTTACCAATCGCTGCTACCTTTATCATCTCTGCTTCCGCTACCTACTCCCACCTCACGAATACGTAGGTTTTCTGTCAGCCTACGTCTAAGCTGCCTTCGCTGCTCATCGTGTACGGAGCCAAATAGGATGGATTTCCGTGCATCTATCAGCCTCTGGAATCCACCGATTTTTTGGCCTTTTGGTTTAAGTTGCCGGTAGATGTCTGTTGTTTTCACAGCTTTTTAGATATTCTACTGAACCACCTCGCTGTACATATCGCTTTCACTGTTGACTAGATCCTTCTCGAGATGGCCCTAAAAATATTTTTTACTTTTCCATCATTACGTTGAACTACAAGATTTCTTGCTGTTGCTCTTCTACGTTCTGTATGGGCGGCCAAACCAAAACGTGGCATCAGTCCTTGAAGTCACTAACCTCTAGTCTGAGCAATGTTGGTAGATGCAGACTACTTGGTTGGGGTCCGCGTGACTATCGTAACCAATGGTTGAAGACTGGGTGACATGGCCCAGAATCAATCACAGTGGCGTCGGTGTATACACTCTTTGTCTTCCCTTAAACTAAGAGATTAAAATTACTTCACATCTTTCTTTCTGTGAACTAATTCTTTCTTCCTGTACTATATCCTTATATGCAATCTTTCTTTTATATATTATCACCTCTGAATTAACTATTTCTATGAATTCGGTGTTCATCTTGTTGTGCTAATGAGGTATGGCAACTTGGACCGATGCACATATGTACCTGGTCCTACGTTGTGGCTGACTGACTGAGTGAAGATGCAAACAAACATGTGCCTTAACCAGAGCACTATCCGAGTCTAAACACGTGCTTCTGAATAAGCGACAGTCTTCTATCTGGCCCCTCTCGCCAACGATGGTCTGTGGGAATATTTGATTTCTTTCTTGAGTCACTCACTCAGATCTAAGAAAGCAGATATGAATGTTGACTCGAGATCATCAGTGTAGTTTAGTTTTGCTGGTATCATTAGTTCTCATACATAAAGTATGGCTGTTAGTCGAGTACATCTTAATATAGTAATGAATAGGGAAATGCATGCAATTAATACATGAAAAAGCGAAGATATATGATGAACTAGTTTTAATGAGGTCAGGGGTAAAATAATTTTATTTAGACACGAGAGGCATCTTACTGCTTGTAAATAATACAGTGAAAAATTACATGGATCATCCCTAACTTTTATTCTGAGCCACTGACAAGCGTAGTAAGTAATCTCGACCAGTAGTTTTAGACCTTAGGTAGTATTCCTCAGAATGCATGTACTCTTTATTGCTCTGGATTATGAGTTTTACTATTGTTTTACGCTTCACTACATTTGTTTTTGAATCTTAACACAACGCTGCTACTATTTCAACTTCGTGGTTTATCTTGTTCACTTTGCTTCGTGATGCTGGCTTGATGACGCCACTTAAGCTGATATATGTATGCGGTAGGTCTTACGTTTATAATGCCTGACTGAATATTTACTAACATACTTCTTAAAATCTTGTGGCTGTCTGAAGCTTAACTGTAACACAAAAACAAGTGAACCAGAAAAAAACAGCTAGATTTAAGGTTTAGACATCAGAATACTAGCTTGATTTACTGCACATTGAATTCGGGAGTACAGGCATATTTGTTGACATCTAACAGCAATCGCACCTCTGAGGATTTCATTGAAAAGCACATCCTTGGAGAATGTGACTTCAGATGTCGGACTTCAATTGAAAAGTACTGACTAGTTAGTGATCACCTACAGGTAGGTACGCTTACAACTGAACAGGGAGTCAGTTGATTTGTGCTTTGGACATCCATAACTTAGTTTGACTTTGGTGTGGTCTACCAATAAATGGACATCGAAATATCATGTTACAAAATTAACCCGTGTCATTAAAGAGAACTAAAAGACCAGTGAAGAAACTTTTTTTTCAACGACATCACTTACTCAAGTTGTATAGCCGTATTCATGGTTATTCAACAAACAAGATAGCCTGTCAAAGAATAGGGAGCGCAATGCCTAACAAAGTATTCGGGAACTCCAAGCGTTAAAACAGGGTTGCGTAACCATCGGTAGAGTGGATTCCAATTTGTAAGAGATAATTGTTAATTTGGAGTATATGAGTGTTATAACTTGTGGCCTGTGTGCCCTGTTAATGTACAACGTAATAATACCGCCAGTTAGCAGTAAATTATCGATCGGACCAGTAACGCACAAGACACGTACGAGCAGTCTAGAGTCCTTATTGGTCTTGCTTCCTGCTTAGTCCAGCCAGTTAAGTCCAGAACACCAATCTCAGCCTCTGTGATATGAATCATTCATTTCATGCATACTGGGTTTATATACCAACCAGACAGACCGCACCGTACCATAAAATATGAAACAACATTTGTACAAGAATTAGCCAAATGTGACAATGAGGCAGGTAGTAATTAATAGACAGGGCATAATTCAAGAATGGTAGATCGTATAATAATAGTCCATAGGTCAAAATGAAGCTTATGATAAGAAGGACATGAATATGAATAGTTTGGTTATTTAACGATTGTACGATAAAAATATACTCATAGTATTGGTCCATAAATGGATCCCAAAAGTTACTATTTATTATGCTTATCCGGACATAACAATCAGGAAGACAAGGAAAAGTAAAATTACGTAGTATTAATAACGAATCATCAAAAAGATAAAAACGCTAGGGGAAAGTACTCACAGCTAACTCATACAAAAATCAAGTGTTAGAGCTATGGGTAGGATCCGAGCGTGAACTTTTCGCTTTTTCACGCAGTTATGGTTTAAAAGGAATTTTTAACGCCTTTGTAATACACAGATTATTTGGTTTGCGCTCACTTCAAACTCAATTGTTTGCTTGTTTAGGTGATCTTGAAAGATATATTTGGTGGAACACGATGACTATAGTCGACAAGCTCTTTCAATATTTACCTGTTTCTTGTTTCGTAGTTTATTTTCTGCATCTGATATTATTCGGCATGTTTTTTTCCTCTAAATGTCATTCTTCTACTAATTACAGTTCTAAAAAATCGATTCGAAAGCCATTCTGTATTCACTTCAACTGTAGCTTCACACAGACTGGTTGAACGGCACTATAGAAAGTGCTTGAATAAAGTAACCATCGAAAAAAATAAATCCTACAAACATCTTGTCTTTAGTTTTCCTTTGTCATGAGATTCATAGTACATCAATCGAGATGTTTAAACGTACATAGTTCTGCTCGGTACATCAAATTAATAGAATGAATACCAATTGCTGTAATGTAGGCAGATAATCTTGTTTTTTTGTTTGGTAATTCACCCGTAAAAAACTTAGGCTACAATCCAAAATCAAACAAGATAAATGTGGTGGACATTCGAGACGCAACTCAATTTGAGATTGTTTAGTTATGAACATGATTAGAGAAGAAACTTTTCGAGACCCAATTCTACAAGAAGTTAGAAAGTTCCATCTAGAAGGGCGGCCTTCAAAAATCAGCTCTACAGAGCTTCAACAGTTTTACTAGCGTAGACTCAATCATCGACGACTGCCCGTTGTTTGCTGAATGTGTCATAATCCCAAAGGAGCTATAACCAGCAATCCTTGACCAGTTGCACGTAGGACATCCTAGAAGAAATCGAATGAAAGCACTATCACGAAGTTATATATACTGACCGCATTTAGACTTTCAACTGGATCATCTGTCCCATTCGTGTACCAAATGTGCATTAGCAACAGAGGCACCGCGAAAAGCAGAGCTGCAATCATGGCCAATATCACAGTCACTGTGGCAGCGTATACACTCGGACTTTGCTGGCACACTTCATGGACAAACTTACTTTCTGGTAGTTGATGCATACAGCAAGTGGCCAGAAATTTTTCTCATGGAACACCCAACTGCAAGCTGCACAGTAAACTACTTCAACTATTCAGTTGTTTCGGAGTCTCATAATTGATAGTTAATGACAATGGAACACAGTTTACATCCGCTACCTTCCCAGAATTTTGTCGGCAGAACGGAGTAAATCATGTTCAAACACGTCCATTCCATCCTCGATCCAATAATAAAGTGGAACGCTTTGTGAGCACATTTTAAAATGCTCTAAAAATAGAAAGGGTAGGTGACCACCGAAAAGATCCTAGCGAGGTTCCTGCTTATTTATCGCTCTGCATCAAACCCTCAGACGATTAACGGGGTCTCCCCAGCAGAAGCTCTACTTGGCAGAAAAATACGAACACATTTCGATGTCATCTGTCCTACGCCAGCTCTCGAGCCTCAACGAAGCGTATCGATGGGGAAGCAGTTCAGTCGACATCATGGGGCACAAAGATGATTGTTCACGGTGGGTCAGAAAGTACTTGCTATGGACTATCGTGGAAAACATCCTACATGGACAGCTGATCGGGTCGTGCAAGAAAAAGGAAATGTGGTTTATGAGGTGTCAGTTGGCTCAAAGTTTGGGTACGTCATGCTAACCAATTGGAAGCAACTCCAACAACTAGCAACGAGACTCGTTATAGAATATCTCTTGACGTTCTGCTAGACGCCTTTGAAATCGAAACGCCTGGAATAGACAGGTCAGTTTCTGTGCAAGCAAAGAGTGATACAACTTTATTGCCTAGATGATGGACAAATCGAAATCACAGGCCGGTCACTCGGTTGCAGTTGGACCCTAGCACCTGATCCTACGAACCTGTTCAAAGGGTAAGTGTTAGCGGGACTTAGATTGGATTAAGGCATGTTTCATGCACGATTGCTTTGGTGTGTGCTGATTGACCGATTCTTAACTAATCAGCGCTAGTCGATACTTGGAGAAGTCTCTAGAATTCTCTCGTGTAAAAACTATAAATACACTAACGTTTTTCTTATTTTGCTTCTTACTTCCATCTGCTCTTGTTATTTGGAATATAATTTCTTTCCTGATCAACCGTGTTCTGATTTGGGGACTTGTAGAGTGAATTGGTGTCCAAGGAATACTAAGCAATAGGAATAGCTGAGCTGTAATAGAGAATTATAACATTTTAAACCCCTTTCGTCCCATCTGACCAGGTAGAAATCGTCACCCCAAACGTCTGTGTCAGCTGTTGTTTGTTAAACCCGTTGACACCGTACTTCTATTTAGTTTTACCATGATTACCCAAGGCCGTGAATTTTAGTTCTATTTCGTATTTCTCATTAGATTTTGTACCTTTGTTTGGTAAATGGGGCTCAAACCCGTTACTCATTAGTTGTGTTGCGTTTGCGTACTTCACTAGTGTGAAATGATTTATCTTAAAATTTGTATCAGATCAGTTTGTTCCCGGCAATCATCTTTTTTTCAGGTTAGTCAATCATGGGTGTTCCAGCTTTTTTCAGATGGCTGAGTATGAAATATCCATCAATTGTCACCCATTGTGCAGAGAAACGTGGAGCTATTTTGGATGATGATGGCAATAGATCACCTATAGATACATCGGAGCCGAATCCAAATGGAGAAGAATTCGACAATCTATATTTAGATATGAACGGTATTATCCATCCATGTACGCATCCAGAAAACAAACCAGCTCCAAAAACGGAGTCGGAAATGTTCCTAGCTATTTTCGAATACATAGATAGACTATTTGCCATTGTTCGCCCTAGAAGAGTACTGTATATGGCCATCGATGGAGTGGCTCCACGTGCTAAAATGAATCAACAACGCTCCAGACGTTTTCGAGCGGCTCAAGAGGCGAAAGAAAAACATATAACTATTGAGCGTTTAAGGAATGAACTAATTGCAAGAGGGGCGCATCTTCCACCACCTAAGGAAGAACATTTTGATTCCAATTGTATTACTCCAGGAACACCATTTATGGCACGTTTGGCTGTTGCTTTAAGGGGGTATATATATACTCGTTTGACAAAAGATCCAGGATGGAAGAATCTGATGGTTAGTTTACGATGTGATTAGAGTGATGTGTTCTGCGACTTTTGTTTTAAGTTGAATTGGCTTTCAGTTTTGATGCATATTTATCACAATAGTTTGTAGTTATTGTGACAGTTAAACTACCTTGAATACATCGGTTAATTTTGTGCGGTTTTATCTTTCATTTGACCGTCTTATCACTTTTACATCAGTTTTTCATTGTTTCTTAATACCCTAATCATAAGATATGATGTTACGGCAGTCATTTTTCAAAAGGGCTTGAAATTTTCCTCATCCGGAGATTATAAACGTTTTCCTAGTAATTAAGTGTGGTCTCTTTCTATATAATACACCAGAGCCAACTGTATAGCTATTAAATTTGTGACCTACGTAGAATATAGTTATAGTTTTCTGAATTCGTGCTACAACTTTGTCAGACATCAACCCATTAGAGATAAAGAAACTTTCAAGATTAATACACCCAACTACTTCACTCTCTATCAGTAGTTCAGGGAGTAACATTTCGCATCTAAGGGGAGAGGAACGCACCCCGAACATTCCTGTATTGTTGCTTAAGGTGGTCAAAAGACTGGATTTTGTTAGCGTCTTCACCACATAGAGCCATATCATCTGCGTATTTTAAGCCATCAGGTGAATCTTTCGGTAGACCAACTCCCGAAAAGTCAAACGATGAGTATCATCTCTAAAAGTATGTCCATGACATGGTTAAATAAAAATGGGGAAAGTTAGCAAGCCTGATGAGCACCACTTGAAGTAATCAGTTCCGACTACAGTTCTCCATAAGCTCTGATTCGACCATTAATGTTCGAGTAGGGAGCCTATACAAGGTTAATGTACCTCTTTTGGTACGGCTTTCAATGACGGACTGTCAAATATAACCTCAAGATCAACAGATTCGAATGCCGCCCTAAGGTCAAGGGATAGAATTATAGTCGGATGTCGAAAATTATATCTGTGTTCCAGAATCTGCCGAATAGTGAATATTTAGTGTATACATCCACATCCAGATCTGAATCCAGTTTGATTTTCTCGAGCCTGCTCTTCACGAGTCCTAGCGTCGGATGATTATTGAGGCCAATATTTTGGATACTATGTTAGTCAGACTGATTCGTCTATGGTTGTCAGCAAAGGATTTTTGTCCTTATAGACTGGGACGATCAGCGATCGAGACCAGTCAGACGGGTTTATATTCAGCTCCCAGATTCTGACTGAGATTTCAGTCAATCTAATACCTAAAACTGGGTTACTAACTTTCAATATCTCAGGGGTTAATCGATCAAGTCCTGCTACTCTCTCTCGCCTTAGATTAGCTACATTTTTTTCTATTTCATTAAGAGTTGAATGTTTTATGTTTACATCCCTTTCAGGTTGCTTGCTAAAAGTAGGCAACCAAAGGATAGCTGGAGAGCAGTTAGACTATTCTTCAAAGTTTTTGTTCATCGTTTCAGCCTTCTGAGTTCAGTGGATCATTGTCCCATCACTCTTAGAAATTGTCATCAATTCCTGGATTTTCAATCCCCATTTATTCGACAAGTATAAGAAGTTTGTTTTTGTGTAGAGCCGCTTCCTTTTTCCATCGCTTTCACTGCTCATAGTCGTTGCGTAGACGTTTTGTCAGTTTACGTTTAAGTTACCTTCTTTCCTCATCGTGTTTCAAGCTTAATGGTTTGAGTTTTGGACATTTTATCAATTCGGTACGCACCACTGAAATCGAGTAATTTTTCTTAACCTATTGATTAAAGCCACTCGTAAATATCATCGCTCTTTTCACAAGTGTCTCAATGTTATGCCAATCCATATCACTTTAGTGATTGACTAATTGCTCTAGTTCGTGAAACGTACTCTTGGTATTTTGCTGTTAAGTTGAACTTCAAGGGGTCTTCTTAGTATAGCTTCTATGTGTCCACTAAAATGTTATATCTACTCCAGCAAGGTTATCAGAAGTCATGGTCAAGTCTCTAAATAAACAAAGGGAAAATTCCACAGGTTCTCTGCTTCAGCTACGTAAGTTCAAGTCGATGACCACACTTGAATCCTGTGTGTTTCGGAGACATGGCGTACATTGGTGGCACAGGTTCTGGAGTTCTAACTAAGTAAATCTTTTGGCTTATTTGACATAGGGTTCGATATTGAAAGCTTCGGTCATGATCAAGGGATCTCGGGTGCTGTTAAAGGCGTGGTGGAAGTTATCACTTTTCAGTCCCTCACACTGTGGTGTGGTAGGATATTTCTTCTTGAGGGACCTAAAGAAGAAATAGGCTTAAAGGTGATCTTAAAGACCTGAAACTGTGACCACAGAGGCCAACGGAAAACTTCTTAAGGTTATTAACTTACAGCCTTTACATGTGAAGCTTTCGATGTGTCAGCTTTATATTTCGAAAGACTTTATCGCTGGAGATGGAAATTCGTGTGGATAATATGTGGTGTAGCATTTTTAAGGCCAATCTTTTCTGACCTTTCTTTCGTTGTTAGAAGGCAGCTTCACAGCAGATGCTAGATGTGGGAGGGAAATACTCGCTGTCATATCCTTGTACAGTCAGCAGTACGACTTCGCCCTCGGACTTTAAGTTGCTGCTTTTTGTCCTACTGTTCTTCAGCCGACCTGCCCTGCGTGATAAGACATAGAGGAACATGTGTTCCACTCAATATAATCCAGTTGAGTCGTCACAGTAGGCAAGCCCAGCCACCACGTCAAGGTGACAGATTCGATCGAGTGATTTGTGATTGGTTTTAGGCCAGTATCGAGTTTTGTAGGGAGATGGTTTTTAGTAGTCTCTAAGGTGGTCTTCAATTTCAAGTTCATTAAGTTAATTAATGGTTTATATCTTCTTCATTATTTTAAGGTATTCTTGAGTGACGCAAATGTTCCTGGTGAGGGTGAACATAAAATCATGGATTTTATCAGACGACAGAGAAATAATCCAACTCATGACGCCAATACGAAACATTGTTTATGTGGCGCTGACGCTGACCTTATAATGCTTGGATTAGCCACACATGAACCATATTTTACTATTATTCGTGAGGAATTTAAACCAAACCAACCAAAACCTTGTGATTTGTGCGGCCAGATGGGTCATGAGATGGAGGACTGCGTAGGTGCTCCAAAAGAAGAAGATCCAAACGAAGGTCCTCCTCCACTACCTTCAGGAGATGTGGTATGCTCATTCATTTTACGATGACTTAACTTTTATTTAGTTCTACTCTAATTGTTTTTGTTAACCTTTGTTTCGTGAGTTAGTTGCTATAAAACAACAAGCAAAAGTCAGCCCACATGTTTCACAGCTATTTCTGGATGTCAATAGAATATGACCTTAGCATTTATTATTCATTATTACCACTCTTAAAATTCACATTTGCTTTACTATATCGTATATAAATCAACAGACAAGAGTTCATTCCATTTTTTTTCTAATAATGTCATATATTATTTTTCATAAGGTAGGTTTTTGTAGATTAGTAGTAATTTAACCTACTAACGATTTACAATAACACAAATTAGCAGTGATAAATCTGTAGGGTCATAAAATCAATCTGTTAATAATCCTCTTTTTGCAAGTCACTATTTCCGTTTGGTTTCAAGTATTTACATATAGATCTTAAGCATGTATTCTCTTGAAAGTATCATCAGGTATACAATGATTCACATGTCTTTTCCACCGCGTGTAATTTCGTTTCTCTCTCTCTTTTCGCTTCATCCCTCTGACCGGTTGTCTAGATCAATGAGTGTACAAAATACATATATTCAGAAATCCATTCTCGTATTTGATTAATTTAGTTCCGTTATTCACCAACGCGGATTAAGTCGATAATTATATACGAGGATTGGCTAAATGTATATTTCAATAACGTTCATACGATCCAATTGGAGTCAGATATAGTGCCACAAAAGTGGTGAGCCCGTTGACAACATCTGATTTAATTGACGTCAAAATGAAGGGCCCCACTAAAATGTCACCAAACAAGCCTTCAGCACAACTAATTATTTGTTCACTAATTTGCTCCGTGTGTAATGTAATAAAACATCCTGGATTTTTTAGATATCGCAAAACTTTTGTGCAGTTCCAAACATTTCATCGATTGCATTTGTTATTTGGCGAATAAGCGATATTATCTCGCGACATGGTTTGGCTAAATGGAATAAGGTTGTTGGGTTACGGTGTTGGTCAACCCGGGTCTGTCAAAAACGACTGATACACCAGTCGATTAGTTTGTTGCCGGTTGTTTGGACAGAGGCTTACTTGCTCGATAGTAGGCAATATCAGCATCTCAAAGTCATTCAAAGTACCTATTCAGCGTATTTTTCAGTTGAATGAAGTTAGTTGAATAAATAAGTGTCCCCTCAAAAAGTGGCTTTTTGGAAAGCCTTACTGTACTAATACTAATAAATAATTTCATATATTACTAGTGCTCGTCCTATGTGTATAAGCTGTTTATCATTTTATATGCAGTGCTTCCTCAAATATGTTTTAATAAGTCACTGTAAGTTGTGAATTGTTTTAGACATAATAGTTATTGTTTTCAAAGTTTCAACGCTTATCCTCGTTCTTTTTCATTTTTATGTTTGTAGGATTTCATCTTTATTCGCTTGAATGTTCTAAGACAATATCTAGCAGAAGATCTGAAGTTGGCCGGCATTACATTTGAATGGGATCTCGAACGAGTCATTGACGATTGGGTTTTTATGTGCTTTTTCGTTGGAAATGACTTCCTCCCTCATCTTCCGAGTTTGGAAATCCGTGAAGGAGCCATTGATCGTTTGATTGAAATCTATAAGTCAACAGTCCAGAAAACGGGAGGGTGGCTGACTGATAGTGGACGAGTCAATTTAGAGCGTGTCCAACTCATTATGGTTGATTTGGGAAAGATGGAGGATGAGATCTTCAAAAATCGTCGTGAATCAGAACTACAGTTTCGTAATAGAAAGCGTCAACATTCATCTGGCAATGGTTATGATAAAAATCAACGCGGGTTCGCTCCACAGCGATTGGGTCACCGCCCATCATTCGAAGTGTCTCAGTCTGGTTTTATGGAACCTATTCCCCTAAGAGGACGTCACGGAATAGCACACCCCAAAGGTCACTATACAAATCAAGTTGTTTCTGCTGATGAGTTATTAGCTGCACGATGTTATCAGGGTAGATGTCAAGAAAGTGTTAATTGGGTGGATAGAAATCTAAATAACCTCGAGGCAGCAACAGCACTGAAAGCTATGCTGAAACGCGATAAACCTATTGAAAATGGAATCTCAAATAATATGAATAATCCCACTATTCTTCCGAAAATACCTCGAATTATTTCTGATAACAACACAAGTCTACAAGGTGTTTCATCTGGTCGCAACAACAGATCAGGTAATCATCACGACGATGAGGATGAGATGATGGATGCTGCAGATGAAGTACGGTTTTGGGAAGATGGATGGAGATCACGATATTATCGATCTAAATTTGGAGTTGACCCGACAGATGCACCTGGGTTCTGTATCAAAGTTGGTCAGGAATATGCCCTTGGTTTATGCTGGGTCTTAGCCTATTATTACCAAGGTTGTGCTTCATGGGATTGGTATTTCCCGTATCATTATGCTCCATTTGCCAGTGACTTCTCCAAAATCGCAGAACTCGATGTTGACTTTTCGAAAAAAGAAACAAAACCGTTTAGACCACTGGAGCAACTTATGAGCGTGTTCCCGGCCGACTCTCGTAGTCACGTCCCTCCAGCGTGGCAGGACTTAATGACCGATCCCGATTCTCCTATAATTGATTTTTACCCAACAGACTTTAAAGTAGACTTGAATGGCAAACGATATCTGTGGATGGGTGTAGCTTTGTTACCATTTGTTGATGAGGTTCGTTTGCTGAAAGCTTTGGATGCCCGAAGAAATCTTTTAACAAAAGAAGAGATTGAGAGAAATGTTCGTGGTTCAGACCAGTTGTTTTGTAGAGCTGATCATTCTGCTGGTCCATTGTTGCATTCTCTATACAAAGTATCACATGAAAAGATTGAGAAAGATAATTCGGAAGAACAAATCATACCAACTTGGGCATCTGCAATTGATCCACGTGTTACGTTTGGAATTAGTGGTCTAATCTGGCCTAACAAAATGGCTTACTTGCCTGGGAGTCGTGTACCTAGTGCAGTCCCAGGTCACGTTCCTGATTTAAAGGTTTCTGAAGCTGTATCAATATGTTTTTCAGATCCTCAATATCCAAAGGGCTTCGTCTTTCCTTCCAAGTTACTTGAATCCGTAAGTTTCCATATATTGTTATGTTGGATTTTTCCGACAAGCTTCTATTCATTAACATCGATTGTCGTCCCCATGTGACACAAATTTATATAGTAGACTGTTTTATGTCCTGTTTTTCCCCATTTTTTCTCCGTATGCATCGCAGGTGTAGAATAGGCGAAAAACATTTGAGCAACTTATCAAGGCTAGATGTTCATGAATTCAAAAATACTTTTATAGTGTACATTATAAAGCGTAATTCTGTTAATCTTATTCCATAGTGTTTTTATGGAAGTCAGTAGAGGAAAAGCCATCTCTTTTAAAAAGACTCATTTTTAAAACATTCGTAAATCGAATAAACGATTGGGCTATCGGGTAGCGACTGTAGATAGTTGCAAGTGGAGGTAGTCAAAAATATGGATCACTAAGTCCCAATTCATTGTACTAATTGTAACACACGATTCGAGGTTTGATGATCCATGATACAGATATTTTTACGGTTTCGAGAGATCATACACAGTATTTATAGTTCACAATTTAGCGCATGAATTTGGACGTGTAAAGTATTATATTGACAATATAATACTTTACACATTTACGTTTGTACAATTTGATACATCTCGCAACAGCTCAGTCAATATAAATAGAAATTTATCAATATGAATAAGATGCTATGATTCGGGAAGGTAAAACAATCATCTGAAAACACTTAGGAGACAAAAGGTACAAAGCAAATGGGTTTACTTAATTAAGTTTAGTTTCAATCCATGTCATCTAAGTCTCCAAATACCCTGGTACAGCCAGGAGTGGGGAGAGTCTGCTCTCCCCCTCGAAATGCTCTCACATGGCCACGTGCATACAACCACTGCAAGGGAAGTTCTTCTCATGGTGGAGATGTTGTTTATGAAGAGCGAATGTCCGGCGCTTTAACCGGGCTGGTGGATATGGAAAATCCACCTAGGGGAGTTGGAAAACCCTGATTCAAGTCGATGGTGCACATGGGCTTCAGAATCCTGACGGAACAAATGGCATATGAACCAACCGTTGGTCACCGACTACTATGGGACTGCATCTCGTAAAGTTGCTCCACTGCCTTGTAGATTGGACTTTTAGATCAAAGGTTCGGACTATGGCCCCCTAAGAAAACCTCTTACTTGGTTTGGGCACCCGGGCAATGTCCCAGCCCTCACACAACTCGAATGATTTATGTGGCACATATCTATTTGGTGCCTCCTTGCACCAATGTTTGTGTTTAAATAAAGTAAATGTCATCTAAGATCTTAAATTACAGGCTTTCGCCTTTCTGAGGGTCTCGGTGTTTGGCGGGATTGCAGTTTTCAAGCCTTGGAATTCCTATGAATCATAAAAGTATTTTAGTAATCAACTCGTTTGTTTTCGGATCATCAAAAGTAGATTTCTAACCTTTTATGACAAATATTTGTAAAGATTAACAATTGAAAATAGTGTACGGTAACTTTTTCTAGATGTTATAATCTAGTTTAATTTAAATACTGATTTGGTTCCGAACTTGTACGTAACTTACAAGACTCATCGTATTCTCAATTTGAATTTTTAAAATATCATTTACCAAACTTGTGATGAATAAATGGAGTTTTTTCTGTTTTTTGAAGGTTAAAATGCCACCCCCAGTGTACCTTCAACCTCCTCAGCGTGGTAGAGGAAGAGGACGAGCAAGTTTTCGCACCGATGAACATCGTGGACGTTTTAATGCCAATGCAGCTATGCAGTACTATGCTCGAGACAATTCGTCAGATAGGGAGGATACTGGTAGAGATTTTTATCCAAACTCACCGATGAACAGGATGGTTATGAATTCATTACCACGATATCAGCGCAGTCGAGGTAGCCACTTACAGTATTCATCTAGATCAGATTGTGGCAAACTAAGTAACAACATTCCACCAAATTGGCGACCTGGGTCTTTTAATCGTTTTCCTCCTCAAAATGATGCTTATCATCGAGGTGGACCTGCCTATCGTCAATCTAGTAGTCATCCATACGCTAATCCGTATTCTGTCCATCCTCCAAACTTCAGTACAGGCCTTTCCAATTCAGTCGTTAAGAATAGCCGCCCACCATGGTTGCCTCCAAATGGTAGGGGTTGATCAAAATATCAAAGCTTTTACTACTTATTTCCATATTCATACTACTTTCTTCCTGCATTTTTATATTTTATTATTATAACACACTATTAGTTGTATATGATGTAGAAATTATTTTGCGCCTGTACAACACAAGTAATAAATATTTACTCCTTTCTCCACCCCTTCTATTTACATTAACATGTATACTAGTAACTGTATTCTGGCACAATTAAATGGCAATTTGTATAGTGAATATCACTGATCATTTGTCTATTTCTATTTAACAACTGAGTTGTGTAGTGACACTAAATTGTGAAAGACTAATATAATTTTTTCGAAATTTCAGCTGTTAATATAAACAATTGATATTCTGTTCCAAAGATTTTTATTAATTTCCTCATTCTTAGTGAATTTTTAAACCGTACTTGTTACGTACTGAACAACTGGTACTCAATTCAACTAAATGACTCAATGGGATCCATAAATAATTCACAACCTAGGTTCTCATTGTTTTAGATTATTCACTGTCCTAGCCACTAACAGTTGAATAAACACTGGATGGTATATTTTGCTACTTTTACCATGTGATAATGCGAAATACCTGGGTATTTTTAAATCTGTTAGGTTTAACTTAGTCCGATTTTGCATGAATATTCCAGTTCTCATAAAAGACTTAAAACTTTCAAAACCGTGATGGAAGATCTTTTTAACGAAAAGCAATGGGCCAAACAAACGTACCCCGTTCTTTGATATGCTCAAGAGTTTGTAAGAATGTATTTTACATAATAGTAAGATCGTATAGTACGTAGTTCCAGTGAAAATGAGTCGATATGCATGAGTACTCACTGCTGAAAGTATGATAGATTGTACTCACATTAACTTGCGTTCCAAATTGAATAGGTCATGAAAGCTTTATTTATGATGGAATATCATGAAAATACAATTCATGACATCCTCACAGGTTTACACATTAGATTTCAAACCATACCACCACTTAGCTTAAGGTTTCTGAATTAGACTACAGATTGACATTTATTTATTTATTTATTTATTTATTTATTTGAACACATGAATATTGGTACAAGAGAGCGCCAATATATATGCGCCACACAAAACAATGAGAATTCGAAGAGAAGTAGAAAAAAAAACTAAGGAGCGCAAAAGAAAAAGAGAACAATGACGAAGAGATTGGAGTAAGGTAGTGTGGTAGTAACGACGGAACGACAAGGTACAATCAGAAGAAATCTTTCAGGTAAAGGAGACACAACCACTTTTTATGAAGAAAGTAAAAGAAGGTTACAGCAGGATAGCCACTGGCTTCTATTCTGAGCCATATCTGATAACGTCTCTAGCCATTGTGTAGCACCATCTCTCAGACCCCAACCGGGGAGTCGTGAAGACCAACACAAGCCAGCTCTTTGCAGCTTTCTTTCATGCCACGACACCATGTCATGCACTGACCACCACTCCGCTTCTTCCAACCAGTCCCAGAGTCGGCAAATAATGCACGACGTGGAATTCTCTGGGACGACATTCGGAGAACATGTCCAAGCCACCGAAGTCGGTGTTTCAAGATGGTAACACCAATTGAGTTATCATCTCTGTGCCCGAACACACGATGCCGAACCTCTGCATTACTGACATGGTGTTGCCATTGAATGTCAGCAATCCTTCGGAGACAGCGATGATCGGACACAGAGAGTCATCTAACGTCCTCAACTCGGAGAGGCCAGGTTTCACAAGCATAGAGCAAAACTGCTCTCACCGACGCGTGGTAGATCCGGCCTTTTACAGCCAGACTAACATCACGAAGGCGCCAAAGGTGGCCCAGATTGGCATAAGCCGCTCTGGCTTTCACTATTCGTGCATTGATCTCATCACTCACACCCCCACCAGCACTTATGCAGCTACCCAGATACACGAACTTCTCAACTACGTCTATCTGCTCACCGTCCAGGGTGAGTACAGGATTAGAATCCTGCCAGTCTTGTAGAAGTACTTCGCACTTCGAAGGTGCAAAGCACATACCATACATACGGACACTGATTGCCAACTGATTAAGTGCGGATTGCATGCCTTGGGCATTATCGCACAGTAAGACAATATCGTCCGCATACTCAAGGTCGAGAAGTCTTTCTCCAGGCAACAGATCCACACCACCATTACTTACGTTCATCAGAGCTGTTTCCAGAATGTCATCGATGGCAAAGTTGAAGAGGAATGGTGAGATTGGGCAACCCTGCCTAACCCCACTGCTCGAATGGAACAATGGAGAGAGGTGGTTGTATGCCCTCACTCTGCCTGAGGTGTTTTTATAAAGGGCTTTTAGGATGTTAATAAACTTCTCAGGCACACCCTTCTTCAATAGACAATCCCAGAGAACAGTCCTGTCCAGCGAATCGAAGGCAGCCCTGATGTCAAGAAACACTACGATTGTTGGCCTTTGAAAAGTATGACGGTGTTCTAACATTTGGCGGAGGGTGAAGATATGATCAATACATCCTCGACCAGAACGAAACCCAGCCTGCTCCTCGCGAGTCAATCTTTCTCGGGTTTTGAACAACCTACGAAGAATGACGGAAGCCAATAGCTTGGACGCAATCGGAAGTAAACTTATCCCCCGATAGTTGTTACAGGAACGACGTGAACCCTTTTTAAAGATAGCGACAACTATCGACTCATTCCATGACGTTGGTACACTCTCTAGTTCCCAAACCCTTGTAAACAACGTCGTCAATTCCTTAGTCAAAAAGTCACCACCATCTTTAAAAAGAGCCGGAGGTAAGTCATCTGGGCCAGGTGATTTGTAACGCTTCAAGAGTTGGAGTTCCTTGCGGACTTCCTCCTCATTTGGTGGATCAGTCGTCACCGGCCATGGAGGGCAGGACAGTCTGACCGATGTTGCCGGAGCAGCAGGCCAGTTGAACTGCCCTTCGAAAAATTCTGCCCATCGTCCAAGACGTCGATGGATGTTAGTGATTGGCATCCCATCATCCTCGCAGATTGTTTCACTTACACCAGACTTCTTGCTGCCAGTGGCTCGGATGAGCTGGAAGAGCTTCCGGTAGTTACCAGATGCAGCTGCTGCTTCCAGCTCATTAGCACGCATCGACCACCAGGCTTCTCGGTCCTTACGCAAGCTTTGCCCAATTTCCTTACGTAACATCCTTCGTTTATGGTCAAACTCACGGTCACCCGGAGTAGACCGACGGGCTTCAATGAGTTGTAAGGAACCTGGAGAAACCCAGTGCTTAAAAGCGGGACGTTTCGCAAACCCACAACTGACTGTCCCCGCCATTTCCATGATGTCATGCAATTGCAACCAATGCTCATCTATACTTTTCGGTGGAGTGGTAGCTAGCCTAGAGGCTAGCTCGGTTCGATACTTACTTGCAACAGAAGTTGCAACCAGCTTGCTAACATCAATCCGTTGATGGCGTTCACTTCGTTGTCCACTGAAAAGTAAGGCAAGATTGGCGCAGACCATGGCATGATCAGAGTCCAGATAGGTACTCCAAAAGGAGCGGCAGTCTTGTACACAACCACGCCAGCGGTAGCTGATCGCGATGTGATCAATCTGAGTCCAGGCTTGAGATGCAGAGGGAGGATGCCAGGTGGCACATCGGCGATGATTGTGCCGAAAGTTAGTGCTAGCCAGAAACAGGTTGTGGTCTGTGCAAAGTTGCAGTAGACGGTCCCCGTTATCTGACCTGCGACCAACGAGTCCCCATCGGCCACCTAAACGACTCTCTTCTGTGCCTAGACGCCCGACCTGAGCATTCAAGTCTCCGGCTAGTACTACAATATCTGTCGAACGCACTTTCTGGAGAAGAACTGATAACTGGTGGTAAAACTCATCCTTGATTGCATCCGGGCTGCAATCTGTCGGGGCATAGGCGGACATGACGAAAAGACATCGTTTCTCACGCCGATTTCTTCTCACTTTGATGGAACTTTCTAATCTAACAGCACATAACCGACTGTTAATGGGGATCCAATCGACTAGTGCTGCCTCAGCTCTAGCGCTTAGTGCGACACCAACGCCAGCAAGACCAGAGGAAGATGCCACAGGGTCCCCGGATAAGCGCACGTAAAACAAGCTTTTCGAAGCGACAGATGGAGATCGAATTTGTAGTACTTCGCCAGAGTCTTGAATACGGGTCTCGGATAGACAACACACGTCGATATTAAGACTTTCCAAAGACATAGCCAGCCCTATCTGTTGTCCGACCTGCATAAATGTGCGAACGTTGAAGGCAGCCAGTTTGAATGGTGCACGTGGTTTCAGAAAATCTGCTTCAGTCCTCGTATTCGGTGGTAACATACAATCTTCAACCGGACAGTGACTCGAGAACGTTTAGATACAGTCGAATTTCCACCAAAGACGAGCCGCTGTATAATTATAAAAGAGGGTGAATAATGTGGAAAATAATAATGATGATAACAATAATAATGATAATAATAACAATAATGACAATAATAGCAGTAATAATAATAATAGTATTAATAATGACAATAATTGTAATGATAATGATCTGAATCAATTGTTTGTTTTTCAAAGCGAGAAAGGTAATTTCCATAGGCATAAAGAGTTAATCATTTGTGTGTGGGCTGTGATACTGCCCGGGTGCCCAAACCGAAGCAGGTGGTTATCTTAGGGGGCCACTCCCCGAGCCTTTGACCTAAAGGTCTAACCCACAAGGCAGTGGAGCATCGTAAGGAGATGCAGTCCCATGGTAGCCGGTGACCAACGATTGGTTCATACGCCATTCGTTCCCGCAGGATACTGGAGCCCATGTGCACCGTTGACAAGTAATGGTCATACGATTTCAAGCATTCTGAGTATAGAAAGGAAATTGCTGGTTCTTACTGTATCGTTATTGATATCTTAGGTTTACTCAGCCACGCCTCACTCAAAAAGTATAGACCATCTAAACCTCAGCCTCCAGATTATTGTACACATAGGACTGCTAATCATTTCAGTTCAGTTAATTTAAAACTAGAGAGAATTTCGAAATGGAACACGGCATTAGTTATTCAGAAGTGGTTAAGGTCCTGTTTTTTGTGCTGATATATAGATATGTAATATTGGAGCTGAATAAAATATCGTCTCGCCAGTAAGTTTTCCTGAACATTAAAACTGAGTCAATATGAAAGCCAGCTCCTGATTTTACTTTATTTTAAACACCTGCCCTAGCATGCTGTTTATCTCGTTCAACAGTTATTTCTTATAAATAGCATGAACCGACCTAAGTTAGACTTCTACTGAGAACCATGAAGCACTAGACAGCTGTTTCGTCCTAGTGTGAGAATTTTATCATCTCATATCCACAACCTTACCGAAGATATATATATATATATATATATATATATATATATATATATATATATATCAGCGCAGTACATTTGGGGCTAACCACACATTAACTTGTTAAGAGGGTCGACATAGACAAACTGGATCCTAAGTGTAATAAGGAAAAGACGAAAGCACATTACTGTGAATATTGAATTTAAATTAGCAGATTACTGGGGCAGGATTAATGTAAGTGCAATGGGTAGGGCTGA